TGAATATTTAATGGCACAGATTTGTAATGCTAGAGAAAAATTGCTTTTTGTAATTTCTATTGTATTTAGATTATAGATATTTTCAGAATGTTAACCGATTCTTATATTCTTATATGTATGTCAATTCTGAATTAAATGATTTAGAATCGGTGTACATATTTAAAACAAATTTACAAAAACAAATTTTGTAATGCATTGAGTAGTTATTAGTACACATAGATATAGTATATACTATTCACTCTTACAATTCTCTAATATGAATTAGCTTACAGTTATGTGAAATGCTCTCATGGTCGTTTTCTATGCAGGCATTAATGACTTTTGGCTGACTTTTTTGTTTTTGAAATCTTATGCGATTTTGTTTGTTTACAATAAGTAAGTTATGTGATGGCAACAAATTTTGCATATCGAGTTTTCGGGGGAAACGCATTTCTCCATAGTAAACAAATATAAATAAAATATTTTTGGCAACCTGTAGGTGTGGTGTGTGCACGCGTGGATCTCAAGTTCGGCAAAACCGACTTTCATGAAACTTTATATATGAGTTTACTTCGGCTATGGCACGGATTGAACAACTCTCGGGTACTGAACCTTTTTGCGTACCGATTTTACATTTTTGCATACATAAAGAGATATAATCAACCAATTTCCTTCAAATTTAATACTTATATTCAGGATATTTAAACAATAAACATAAAATTTACGGAATGATCAGTGCTCGAAAACCAAACTTGGGGCTAAATTTACGTTTTTTACCATACCTACGGAACGGATTGTTGGAAATTCTTGAAATTTGATATTTAAGTTCTGGTTGTTACCCCAACTAACTTTCGGGTTGCACAAAGAGGAATTCTTCTAAGAGAAAAATTTATACTTTTCTGGGTACATTAACTAAAAACTTGCTAATGTCCTTAAAATTGAAAAAATGTGTTTGAAACTCATTTTCATAATCTTCTGCAACAATTACAATAAAAAACAATATACATTGAGGTCGATTATGCACTGACCATATGAGATTTCTTTTCTCTTCTTATTTTATAACAACTAAAGATAATAAGTGAATACAATTTTGTCGTTTCATCGCCTGTTTGGCATTACAGAAACTTACATAAACAAATACTGGTCAATGACTTAATGTAATTCGACTAACGATAGTACTCATATTTTAAATATTTCGGACACAATACATATTTTTTATTACTTCATAACAAAATTTAATAATTAAATAATAATTCAAAAAAAAAAGCAAAACTAATCATAATTAAAATATGCATGAAGCTGATACGCGTATATATATAAATATAAATTATATATATATATATAAATATATTTATTTCTAAATTTACCTACGTATTATATATTGTAAAATAGTGTTATAAACATAAAATACATTGATACAGCACTAATAATGTTATTTAAGTATTCTCTTGTCGTCAAATATTTTTTAACTTCTCTTTTAAAAGTTGCGAAAAATGTAAAATTTTTTAAATTTTGTGGTAAGTACACCAGACCTAATCCTTTGACAAAAGTTCTTTGGTGGGACAGTAAACTTCTACCTACACCATTCTTAAACCTAGTATTAAAATTGTGAGAAAATCTTTGTATAGAACCAATATTAGTCACATCATTCTGGATCTTATAATAAATTATCATAATTTGCTGAAACTGTTAAATTCCACCAATCGGTAAAATTTGATGGCTGCAGTACAAATTACGGGTACTGTAAGATAAAGGCAAATTCAAAATGTTTTTCAAAATTAATTTAAATAAATTAAAGATATCTGTAAAGTACGTCTGGATAGATGGCATTAGTGCCATAGGATAAAATTGAATTATCTAATAATACATTTCAACTTGAACATCAGAAGGTACATTATTTTTGTATTTATACACAATTCCATTAAGTACATTAATTCTACAATTTATTGTTTCTATTTGTAATCGCCTCTTTAAATTTTCATCAAAAGTGGCGCCAAAAAATTTTACTCCACTTACACCTTCCAGTACCATTATCAATTTCCATATATATATATATATATATAATCTCAACAATTATCATACAAGTTTTGGCTATTTATTATGTCATTGATAAATATCAAGAATAAAATTGGGCCCGATCCCTGATAAACGTCAATACCAATAACTGTAATAGATCTCTACGTGTTTGTAAAATTTTCAAATTGCCTCCGATTCGTCAAAAACCTTCGCATCAAAATTGTCGAAGTGATAGAAAATTCACAATTAGAAAGCTTTTTAATAATAATTAATGATCAATAGTGTCAAACGCCTTTTTCGAATCAATAAATACACTAGCGGCCATTTTAAAACTGGATAGACTATTACATAACATCTCAACAACATCGATCAGGGCATTCTGCGTACCATTCATATCCATTATTGATTATATAGAAAAATATTGATAATAATAAAAAAATCTATGAAAAATTGAACCCTGCTCTAATTTTCTGTAAAAAAATTTTAAAAATTACAGTTCGTCGCTTCGAATTTTCTTCCATGCTGAAATATCGGCGTTACTTTTTGTATTTTTAGTGCATTAGGATTAATGCAAGTGCTCACAATTTCATTTCACAATATGGTCAGAAGCGGTGCAAAATATCCACCCTACTAGGTATTTTGCACCGACCGAAAGATATTATTGAAGTTCATAGGTTGCAGAAACACTACAGTCGAAAAAACTAAAACCTGTATAAGTACCATTAAGTGTTCTAAAAAAATGCAAGTTATTTCGAACAATATTATGACTGAACATACCACTAGCAATTTGTACAGATAATCATTAAATTCATTTGCAATTGGGTATGGCTCAATTCTCTAAGAAGAAAAGACAATTCAAATTGACTCGCACTCAATTAAACTTTGAAAACTACAACCTCTCACAGAAACTATATGAAAAACCAAACAACAAAAAACTTTTCTGAATTACATTCCCATATACATCCACTACTTTATATCGTCCTACAATTCTTTCTTCCCAAATATTTTTACTCTATAATGTATTTCATTTTTGATATTAAATTAAAGTCCCTTAAACTATTTTCAAAATATAAAAGCAATAAAAATAATAAGTAACAAACTACATTATTCCAATTATTCTATTTTGTAAATTCTATTAATCGCTAAGAATTATGAAAATCCCTTAAGAGATTTTCCAGTGAAAATCTTTTGTCTGAAAAAACCATAAAACATTACACAATTTCACAAATAAGAAAAAAACGAATTTTCATCAAAGAATAACAAATTAATTTAGCAGTTTCTGAAGAAAATCTATGAAAAGCAGTGACAAGCTTTATTTATGCTTAACAAAAATTCTAAATTTTTTTTTTCTCTTATTCTTCTTTCCAAACTAGAGTTTACGTATACGAAATATTGGCATCGTCAATGTCTTTATCGCTATAATCATTATCATCCACTTATTATCTCTCTCTAATTGAAAACTCTATTTATATCAACCGTATAGTATTTATTTTGTTTGCCGCTAATGTTGTATATCCATAAGCTCCAGCCGTTAATTCAAATGGATTAAGAATGATTGATGACATATTTTTTTAATGCGGTTTTTTTTTTCACATTATGTCTTGTAGTCGAAAATTTAGGGAATCTATTTTTCTTTACGAAAATTTGAAAAGAAACAAAAAAAAATTCTACACTTCTTAATTTCTAGGTTAAAGTAGAATTTACTTTAGAGGATAAAAAAAAATCGAAACAGAAACTGGAACGATAGAAAACAAAAAAATAAAATATTGATGAATAAATGCTTTGAGATTTTTACCTTTGGATTTTACATTTCAAATACGATCATGTCCCTTATTTTGAACTGGACCTCACAAAGTAAATATCTAAAACTGCTTTATTGAATACATATCCAGCGTATTTTTGAACTTTTAGACCATACTTTGATTTTATTAACAGCTATATTGTTAAATGTAAACTTGTGGTATTGAAGTGACAGTAGTGACCTCGATTTACCATAATAGAATCTTTTATAAAACCACGACAAAATATTGGGTATGGCGCATATATTACTTAAACGAAATTTACCACCCGGAACCCGTCGCCTCTTAGGGATCGAATCTGCACACTCTAACAGCAACGTAACCAGTGTTGGGATATTAGCATTTTTAATGACAAATTTAGCATATTAGGTTATAGTTTTACATTGAGATTTCAAAAGATTTTGCAAAATGCATTTTAGGTATCGCTGCGTTTCAAAAAAGCGTTGAAGAACCTTTGAAAAAAAAAAAACAGTTTTAAAGGTTTTACACCTTTACACTCTCAAGTTTTTGAAATTTATCATAAAATGGCAATGTATTTTGGTTAAGCTAGCACAGTTTATTCCACCAAATATCCCAACACCGAAGGTAACCCATCTTTCGCACTGAGGTTTTAGTAACTCCTCCATATTCATCTTTCTTAAGTGCCTCCTAATTCGACAATGCTGAGGTGGCATTGCAAAAAAACACATGCAGGAGGTCTGTGAGAACTTCCTCTTTTTTTTCAGAACAGGTAGTATTTTTTATACAAGTTTTTATTGATATATTAATTTTTATTCTTCTTAATTTATTTTGTAAGTCCAGTAATCTATCTTTAAACAACTTATTTAATATGGATATACGCAATTCCTTGATTGCCAATTGAATTATATTTTTTTACAATATTATATTTAAGTTTCTTTATTAATGGTTCAGTTATTGTTTTGTCTTGACCATGCCTACTTTATCTTTGCGTTTTAAGAGTCTTTCTCGGCGGGTATTTAGAAATATTAACATAAATTCTGTTTCAACCTTGTTAATATTTATATTCCAGTTGTTTTTCACTTTCTTAGAATGTTAAATTCACAGACACATTTATTAAATTTACAGTATTCATCAACATATATTATTTTTGTGGCATAGCATTTATTTAAAAGCTTTTTATAAACGCTACTAAATTTATTTTTATTTGTGGTGTTAAAAAAATTTTTTTTCATATTTTCCTTTCAGAATAAACCATGATTCTCAGAAAATGTGGATAATTAATATGGAGGCCAAATTTTTTATCATCTGGACAGTAACAGTATTAGCAGTAAGTATGACAAATGCGAACATGTATATATAAGTATTTTTATAGTAATCTAATCATTATTTAATTTGAATTGTAATTTTTAAAGCTGAAATCCATTAAAAATAATTTTAATTTTAAACTAGATTAAGTTGAAATGATGAAGGTAATTATAAAAATATGCCCTTATAATTAATTATTGAATAAGACTTTGAGAAATTCGTTATAAATGAAGTTTCAATGACGCAATATTTTTTTTTTCGAATTTGATAATTATATTTTTAGTAATATACCTTTAAGACAGGAGTTTCGTGCGTTTTTTTTATTAAATTTTTTCAAGTTAATTTCTACTTTTAAACATAGAAAAGTAAACATATTAAGTAAACATATTAAGTAAACATAGAGAAGTCTTATTTTTGTTAATTTTTATTGACCTGATAGTGTTGTATAATGTCACATTCTAGTCATCGCCTGTAATATTTGGCTGAACTATTTCCTAGATACATGTAGGATTCAATATTAAATTTTATTATGGAATAAATTTCTTTAAATTATTTTATTTTATTTCAATTTTTTAGAAATTCAGTTTTTGTTATCTTATAATTAAATTGATTTAATTGATTTTGTAGTTAAATTTGAACTACTTAATAAAAATTTAAATTTAATAGCTCTTAATTATTATTTCTTTTTAATTAGAAGTAAGTTGCTCGAGCAAATAAATTGAATAAAAAAAAACACGTCTTGACTCTAAGAAACTCTATTGCAGAAGAAGGAAAAATTTACATTGTTACTAATTTCTATAAAGAGTAATTTAGAATTTACAGTTTCTTTTAAATATTAATTCAAAACAAGATTGAGTGAATTTTTGTATGAAAATAATATAATGTTCTCATGTTAAATCCTACACTCGGCCATCCTGAAAAAAGGTTTTCGTCTCGAAAACGGTTTTTGTGTAGAAACGAATGCTATTTATTTTCTGTAGGACAAGTAGACTTGGTCTCAATGCATATTTTCATCATTAGTGTCAGAATCTTCATTTTCGGTATCTTCGGAAATGTTGTTTTGCCATGGTTTCGTGTAATCTGCACTTGTAGTCGTTCTTTTCGGTCCTTCTTGATTTCCAATTTTTTCGACTTCATATCTATCGTTTGCATTTTGCTTGACTATTTTGTATGGACCTAAAAATTTTGAAAAAAGTTTTGTATTATTAATAAATTGTTTTCGCTTAATTGCGACTAGACCTCCAATATCATATTTGTGTGATTCTTTTCTATTTTTATTATAAGTGCGACGGTTTTCTTCTTGGATATACTTTATGTTTTGTCTCGCATCTTGTCTTAGCTTTTCACGATCTGCTTCAAATGTTGATTGTATTTCTTTGTTTACTGCTCCAGCTAGTTTTATATCATTTGTATTTTTCATTTTTACTCCAGTAAGTAATTTGAATGGTGATTTTCCAATTGCTCTTTGATAAGTTCCATTTATACATCTTTGTAGTTGATTTATATAAGTATACCATTTGCTTGGGTTATTTAATGTCAATTTTCTAAGTACGTTTATGATGACTCTATTTATTCTCTCAACCTGGCCGTTACCTCGTGGGACTCCAGCAGTTATAAGTTGAAGTTTTATATTTTCTGCTTCACAATATTCTTTGAAAACTTCTGACCTAAACGCTCCTCCACGGTCTGATATTATAATCTTAGGATTTCCAAAAACACCTTGTTGAATCTCTAATTTACTAATAACCTCTGCTGCACTAAGTGTTTTTACTGGGTATATCCAATAAAATTTTGTGAAGCTATCTATCACGGATAAAATATAGGTATATTTTTTTGCTGTTGTCGTCATAGGACCCAAATGGTCAATATGGTAGGTATCTAATGGATATTCGCTTTTTGGTATGGGATGGAGAAATCCTTCTTGTTTTCCGCATTTTCTGTCAGCTAATATACAGGTAACACAATTTTTTCGACAATTCTCGAGTTTTTGTTTTAATTTGTCTATAAAATATTCTCTGGTAATCAATTCTTCTAGTTTCTTTGTGCCAAAATGTCCTCCATTATGATGGGTTTTTATTACATCATCTGCCATTTTTCGAGGGATGCAAAGTAATTTTGTACCGTCATTTTTCTGTTTGAAAAGAATACCATGTTCTAGAATAAAATCTTTCTAGTTACTTGTTTGTAAAATTATTTTTATTGGCTTCAACTCGTTATCTTCATCTTGTGCTAAACGTACTCTCTCGAGAAACTCATTTTTTACCACCATTACTATTGGGTTTCGGCTTAGAGCATCTGCGTGCTGCATTTTTTTATTACTTCTGTGTTCCATTTTGAAACTAAATTCTTGAATGACTGCTGCCCATCCTGCGATTCTTGGTAGAATGTTTTTTTTTTGCATCGCTTGCTTAAACGCAGAGCAGTCGGTGACGATTTTGAAAGGTATTCCAAATAGATAAACTCTTAATTTTTTGAGCGCGTAAACTATCGCCAATGCCTCTAATTCAAAACTGCAATATAGTTCTTCAGCTTTTGAAGTTTTTTTGAGTAGTAGTATACTGGCTGAAACTGACCAAAATCATTTTTTTTAGCATTTAGAAGAGTCTGTATGTAGCTCTGTTTCTGCATACTGTTTGTATAATGCTAATGTCGGTTGTTCTGTCAGACATTTTTTTAACGTTTCGAATGCTTCAGTTTCTTTAATACCAAAATGAAATTTTGCTTCTTTCTTCAATAAGTCAGTCAACGGTTTCGCCAGTATTGAATATTTTTTGATAAATTTTCGAAAATAGCCAGTTAAACCTAAAAAGCTTTGCACATTTTTAACTGATCTAGGAACTGGGAACTTTGACACAGCGATGATTTTGTTTTAAGATGGCTTCATTGTTCTATTTTCGATTATGTAACCCAAATACTCGATTTGCTGCTTGATGAATTGACATTTCTTCCATTTAATTTTTAAATTATTTTCCTCGCATAAGTTTAAAACATCTTTTAATCGAATGTACGATTCTTCAAAAGTGTTACTTAAAATTATAATATCATCTAAATATAAAAGCACATACCCTTTTTTAATGAAATTTTTGAAAATGTTGTTTATAAAGCGCTGAAATACTACTGGTGATGAACTTAGACCAAACGGCGCCTTGTTAAACTCATATTGGCCAGTCGATTTCACAAATGAAGTATATTTTTTACTGCTTTCCTCTATCGGCACATGAAAAAACCCATTTTCCAGGTTGATTGTAGAAAATATTTTTGCAGAACTCAATGCATTTATTTGATCATCGATCAATGGCAAAGGAAATCTCTCTCGTATAATTTTTTTATTCAGCTCTCTGAAATCTATACACAGGCTTTTGGTGCCATCTTTCTTATTTGCTAACACTACTGAACTTGAAAAATTTGATGTGTTCTCTCTGATAATGCCTTTGCCTAACCACTCGTTTACTTGCTTATCTATAATTACTTTTTCTGCTGGTGCCACTCTTCTTGGACCTTGTTGTACCGGATGTTCGTCTGACAAAATTAGTTTCATTTCTATTGCTGTTTCTGTATTCTCTTTTGGGTTGTAATTCACAATCAATTTTAAAATATCATTTTCGTATTTTTTATTTTCAATATTTATCTCGTTTTTTACATTTATCACGTTGTAGCAACTTAAGAAATCTCTAGGTTCACATTTCACCTTCTCAACTTTGATATCGTTTTCAGACAATGTTATTATTGTATCTTGTAACACGTCTTTACCAATTATCATTGGCGTTCGTAAAATTGCATCTGTTACTATATACACGTTTGTGGAAAGCTTCGCATCATCGATTTCAATTTGTGCTAAGAAGGAGCCTCTTGTATATTCTGGTGAACTAGATAAGCCTTGAAGTTTAATTGAATCGCCTGTGACATTTGGTGAACCGATATTAATATATGTACTCTTTATATCCAATTAAAGTTACATCACTACCAGTATCTATTATTGACAAAATTGGTTGCTCATTTACTTTTATCATTGTATCATATCTTTCTCTTCTAATTGCTCTACACTCAGTAATTGTATTCTTTGAATTATTGCATTGATTTGCAAAGTGACCTGTTTCTTTACATTTAAAGCATTTGCTGTTAATTTCTTTGCACACGTTACTCTTGTGGCCTCTTTCACCACATTTGTAGCATTTGATCTCATTTTTGGTTTCCTCTTTACCACTCTGTATCTCGTTATTTTGTTTTTTGTAGTTAAAGTTGCTTGTTTTATATTTTAATCTCTGCTTAAATTGTGTATACAATTGAAGTTTTTCTCTGAATTCACTAAAATTTTTTGCACCATACAAAATTGTTTTATTTTTCTCAAAGTCATATATTCCCTCGACGACATATTGTATAATAGTTACTTGTTCTTTAACTCCTCCTTTAATAGCGATTTTTCTCATTTTCAAAAAATATTCCATTACATTTTCACCTCTTTCTAACATTCTATGAACATCGGCCGAACTTTGTTGTTGAGAAAATTTTTCGATTAAAAATTGCTTTAATTCATCCCAATCTTTTATAAAAGGATTAGATCTTAAGGCTAGTTTTGCGGATCCTTTCAGCAGTCTTCTAGGAAATAAATTTTTTTGTGACTGTGACCATCCCATCACACTTGTTACTCTTTCAACCTCTGTCACCCAAAGTTTGACATCATATTCATCGGTTCCATTAAATTTTGGCAAAATACTAATAATATCCTCATACGAAACATCGCTTCTGCACACTGTTGACTCGTTTTGTATATTTGGACGTACGGTTGTATTATTCTTTATTTGCTCCAACTGTTGCGCTAACGCCATTTCCTTTACTTCTAATTCTTTTAACCTCTGATTTAATTCCATTTCCATCACTTCTTGTTGTTTTAGTTTTAATTGTTTTTCTTTTTCTTTAAAATGTTGTTCAAAATGCAACTCCTCAAAGCTTGCTTCATTAAATGCCGTCGAATTTTTTCAGTTTTTTCTTATTATTTTATTATATATTCAGATTAACAAAGTT